AAAGAAAACCATCTTGTAACATATAAAAACCAACGGCTCCCTTAGAACACCCTTCAATAAGTGTAGAAAAATCATCATCTCCCTTGTAATATTCCTTGATCAATTCAAAACCAAGTAATTTGCTATTAAGAATTCCAAGCAAAGTATATCTTCTAGAGAGTGCATCCGCTACTACATTCGATATCCCTTCTTTGTACTTAGAAGAAAAATTAAATGATTGTAAAAATTCAACCCACTTAGCATGTCTAGGATTGAGAATGTATGTACTTCAATGCTTCATGATCGGAATGCAACACGAAGTGATTAGGCCTTAGATAATGACTCCAATGATCTAAAGCTCTCACAATAGCATAGATTTCTTTATCATAAGTAGAATAATTCAAACGAGTTCCACTCAATTTCTCACTAAAATAAGTTATAGGACGCTTCTTTTGCAACAAAACTGCTCCAATCCCAACTCCACTTGCATCGGTTTCAACTTCAAAAGGCATTGTAAAATTAGGTAAAGCAAGTATAGGTGCTTCACATAGCTTCCTTTTAATCAACTCAAATGCACTTTGAGCCTCTTTAGTCCACTCGAATTTCCCCTTTTCTTTCTTCAAACATTCGGTCATAGGTGCCACAACACTAGAAAAATTCTTTACAAATCTTCTATAAAATGAAGCTAAACTATGAAAAGATCTTACTTCACTAACATTAGTTGGAATAGGCCAAGTTCTAATAACCTCCACCTTCGAATTATCCACTGAAACTCCATCTCTAGACACGACATAACCAAGAAAAGTAACATTAGGCACTAAGAAATAGCATTTTTCAAGCTTAGCATAGAGTTTTTTTTTCCCTCAATACTTCAAACACACTTCTAAGATGGTTTAGATGATCATTCAAATTAGAGTAAATTATAATATCATCTAAGTAAACAACAACAAATTTACCAAGGAAAGGTTTGAGTACCTTGTTCATCAATCTCATGAAAGTGCTTGGAGCATTGGTAAGACCAAACGGCATCACCAACCATTCATACAATCCAACCATTGTCTTGAATGTTGTTTTCCACTCATCTCCTTCTCTCATTCGAATTTGATGGTATCCACTCATAAGATCAATTTTTGAGAACAATTTCGAGCCATGTAACTCATCAAGTAAGTCATCCAATCTTGGAATAGGAAAAGGACACTTGATTGTGATGTTATTCACACTCCTACTATCAATACACATGCGCCAACTTCCATCCTTCTTTGGAACAAGTAGTGTAGGTACGGCACAAGGACTCATGCTCTCCGTTACATAACCTCTTGTCATAAGTTCCTCAATTTGCCTTTGCATCTCTTTGGTTTCTTCCGGAATACTTCTATAAGCTTCTTTGTTAGGCAATGGTGCTCCCGAAATTAAGTCAATTTGATGCTCTATTCCACGAATAAGAGGTAGTCCCGGAGGTAACTCCTTAGGAAATACATCTTGAAACTCTTCCAAAATTGCTTCTAATTCAATTGGTTTATTCCCTTGTTCTTCCTTGTCAATTCGGACATCATTAGAAACAAGTATATACACCATGTTATTGTTACCAATTTCTTTCTCCACTTCCCCTCTCACTAATCAAATAGGAACCCTTCGAATTAGAGGTAGAAGTAGAAGTTTTATTGCTTATCAAAGGTTTCAATGCAACCGGCTTCTCGTTTTCTCCTTTCCTCACAACATACACATTAGTCCTTCCATCAAATTTCACAAATCTATCATATTTCCAAGGACGACCTAATAGTATATGACATGCATCCATAGGACAAACATCACACAAAACTTTGTTATGAAATTTACCAATTGAAAAGGATATTAGAGCTTGTTTATCCACCTTGACATCACTTGAATTATTGAGCCAATGAAGCTTGTAAGGATTTGGATGCTCGGTAATTGGTCACTCTAATTTATCTACTAAAGTAGTAGACACTACATTGGTGCAACTTCCCGTGTCTATGATCATATCACACAACCTATCTTTCACCTTGCATCTCCTGAGAAAGATTTTCTCCCTTTAATTGCCTTCAACAGTCATAGGTTTTGAGTGTAGTGCTCTCCTTAGGACCAAACTTTGACCTTGAGTCTCGGGATCAATTTCTTCCATGTGTTCCTCATCTTCTTCAAAGTTTTCCTCCTCCTTTTCAACGTCACTACCTTGCTCACACATAGCCTGCTCTTATTCCCATTCTTGAGCCGTCATGACCCTTTTAGAAGGACAATCACTTGCAATGTGACCAACCACTACCACACTTAAAGCACTTCCTTCCTTCCACAAACTTTTTGTTAGTTTCGAATTTAGGCTTAGATTCTTTGTAATTCGAACTAGAACCACCCCTTTCAACACTAGCTTTCTCAAAAGGTTTTGAGAATCCTTTTGTAAACGGTTTAGAGAATGAGCTTTTCTTCCCCTTTAATTGTTTTTCAACTTTGATAGCCACTTTACACACATCCTCAAAAGACCAATATTGTTGTAATTCAACTTTTTCAGCAATATTATCATTCAAACCAGAAATAAAACGAGCAATCTTATGTTCAACAATTTCTTCTAAACCACATAGCATGCATAACTTCTCAAATTCAACAATATAATTCTCAACAGTCATAGAATTTTGTTTAAAAATTTGCATCTTAAGATAGATATCTTGAATATAATCACTAGGAACGAACCTCTTTTTCATGTGCTTCTTGAGTTGCTCCCAAGTTGTGATTTTGTTACGCCCTTCCTTATGCCTCTTCGTTTTCAAATTATCATACCAAAGACTAGCATACCCAGTGAGCTTCAACTCCGCAATTTTACACTTCTTTCTCTCATCATACTCCTTGTAATCAAAGAGTGTTTCGGCCCTTCTAATCCATTCAAAATATTTCTCTAGTTCATTCATACACCCATTGAATTCGGGAAGGTCTAACCTAAGGTTTCTATCATCATCTTTTTGTTTATCCTTTCTCCTAGGTCTAGGTGAATCATCACTTGATGAATAATTCTTTCGTGACCTCCTAGGATTTCTCCTTGGTTGTTCTTCCTCACTTGAAATAGATTTAGGGTTAGTATCACCCCTCTTTGAAGAAGATCCATCACGAGTATCAAGTCTCTTTAATACCTCCTCCAACCCTTGCTGCCAACTCGGTGATTTGTCTCTCTCCTAAGGTTTTGAGCTTGTTCTAAGGTTAAACCCCTTGGAACTTGTGGAACCTCTTCGTCACTCGTTATTCCTACACAAACCAAGTTAGTCTATGCAAAAATCTTGATTAAAAGATCAAATCTTGAAGGAATCTTGAAGCAAACCAAAATGGGACTCCCAACCGCAACCCAGTGTAACAACACCAAAAGTTTTGAGACTGTAAAGAGTTCGTTACTCAACCAAAAGCTACGAAACTTTGTATGATGATATCTAGACGTTTTTAGAGACTAATGCAAAAAGAATCACTCAAAAATTCCCATCCAAACGTTACCAGTTTTTTTCTACCGGAACCTGGAATCTGATACCAGGATGATGTGAATTTTAGTCCTAAAACTAAAACACACAAGGATATGAATCAAGCTTAATTCTATACAGGAAAATCCACCAAGAATTAAACAAGAAACTAGATTAATTAATTAAGAATCCACCTAATTAATCAACCTAAACGAATGTTTTAACTAAAACAAGCAAAACAACAATTGAAATCCATCAATTAAAACTCAAGTGTTTAAACTCAAAACAATGCAATAATAATCTAATCTCCTTAATTCGTGTGATAACAAGCCTATTTATAAGCTAGACTCTTCTAGGAAGATTAGGACAAGTCCCTAATTCAATCCTAAGCAAACTAGACTTCTAAACCAACTTGAAGAACAAGGAAGCAAGCCTTGAACCACAAGCTAGCATGACACGGCTTACATTGGATAAGATTTCAAACCCTTGGATATGTTTTCAAGCCTTACCAAGCTTACTCACCAAGCAAGACCACACGCCTAAAATCAACTTATTAACTAATTAATTAACTAGTTAAAGAAAACCGAACTAACTACTTCCTAACTTAAAGAAATTGATAAAAAGATTAAAGATCCTAATGCTTGAACCAAGAAAAACCCTTTTAAGTGAAAGGTAAAAACTTGGAAGCAAAATCTAAGTAAAGAAAATAAAAGAAAGTAGTTTAGACTCCAAGAAACGCAACCAAGCAAATCTTGATGCATGATAAGCAAATCTTCGAAGTTCTCCATGCTTAGACTTGCATCAGCTTATTGCAGGGGTTAGGGTGGGATTAGGAGTTGTGGTTTGTGATGGGGAGGGGAAGCTCATTGTTGTTGGAGTGAAGAGATGTGAAGGGGAGTTCTCTGTTAATCTCGCTGAAGCTCTGGCCGCAAGATGGGGGCTATTGTTAGCTCTGCAGCTCGAATTCAGCAAGGTAAGCTGGAGGGAGATGCTCTTGCTTTGGCGAATGCAGTCGATCAGGTGCATATTGGCCGATCTCCGCTTGATCTTGTCATTGAGGACTTCAAGGAAGCTAGAAAGATCAGAATCTTGTTAGCTTTAGTTATAATCATGTTAAGCGTTGTGGTAATGTCGTAGCACATTTTGCTGCTAGATTATCTCTTCTTAGTGGAACGGAGCATCTATATTTTGAATCGTTCCCCCAAGGTATCATTGCCTTGGTGGAACTCGATTTGCACTAGGCAAAAAATACAAATGGGCATCGATTCAAAACCCCCATTTAGCACCGATTTTGAACCGATCCTTATTTGAGGGATGCCAAAAACCAAAAGATTTTGCACCGGTTGTTCAAAACCGGTCCGAAAACTTAGATTTCGCACCGGTTCTTGCTGTGAACCGGTCAAGAACCGGTGCGAAAAATGGCCCAAAAAAATAATTTTTTTTTTTAGCACTGGTTCTGTTTCAAAACCGGTCCCAAAAATGCCCCAAAAAATTATAATTTTTTTTTTGCATTTTTTTCATTTAAATTGATATAGAAACACTAACATATATATAAAGTTACATATTTTCATTAAAAAGGCTGTAATATTACAATTTTCGTCCAAAAATATAAAAAAAAAACTAACAAATTCTGCATATGCAATGAAACTTAGCCATAACAAGACAACAAATTCTGCGTATGGAATAAAAAATAGTCATAGTGAGGACCTTGAATAACGTTGTTGTCTTGATCATTTTTTCCCAAAGCAGGAATGCAAAAGGTAGCAGTTTTTCCTGTCCCATTCTTTGCTCTGGCAAGATTATCACTCCCAGTAAGCGCAATTGGAATACTTTCTTCCTGGATAGGGGATGGCCTTTCAAAACCCTTCTCATATATACCCATCAATAACTCGCGCTTGAGAAAATAGTCCTCAAAATTCATTCCCTTTAGTTGCTGTCACATCCTATAGGGAGGGAAATAGAAGATAGTTGTAAAACCAACAATTGCATATTTGTGATGATTAACACTAAAATCAAGCCTCCAAGACAATGTTTAAATAATCCTAGGACTCCTAGCAACAAATTATTTCCAAGTATATTGATAAGCATGATCCAACTCACGAAAAAACAATAAACATAATAACATATGATTACTGCCCATGAATCACAATCTATAACATATGGTCCTTGGAGAGGGCTCTCCCAAAGCGCTGGCTGCAGCCTCACCAACAACAATCAGAATACCCAACAACTTTTATGCACCATTCCTAAGATTAAATAGAACATTATGAAGATTAGAAAGAAAAAAAAAAAATTCACAACTCAAGGATATACCATATATGACCCTCTCAGATAAACTAAGAACAATAATAGAAGGAATATATGGTGCATAAAAGTTCTAATTAGTATATACATATTCAAAATCCATGTCTCAACAACTTAATAACAATTATTTTATGCAATCATATCTGTAAATTGTTAAACTTTAAAATGCAATAGCATGATCAGCAAGAAGATGACACACCTTCACAATGAAGAGAATGCTACCATCTGAAACTTGCTGCCCAGGAGCTACTTGAAGCCCGTGAATAAAACTAGAGGAATGAGCCTTTACAACATGCTGGATCAGGAAGTACATCATTTTAAAACCATTAGAATCTAAGACTTGGAGCAGATAAAAAGTTATACAAAAAAATGTATGCGGCAAAAACCTCCATTTTCATAGCTTCCATTACTAATACTGGTTGCCCTGCCTCTACTTTCTCTTCATTCTTCATGAGAACCTTGACCACCAAACCAATCATTCCAAATGTATATGTGCTTGCTATTATCCTGCCGAATACACCATAAATATTGGTAAAGACTACACTGCCTAGTTGAAAACAAGGATTTGGACAATCAAGGACTCAACAAAAATGAAGTGCATGCATTACATATACAGGCTATATAGTGATCATGACCAGTATAAAGGATCATTGACAGTTCTTGCAAGTCAAGCAGACCGAGCAGGAACAACATTTTAAAAACAATCCCAGAATTATAGCATGCATGATACCTAACATAAAGTTTGTTAGCATCCAAGATGGTAATGGACATATAACTGGTAAGCAAATTATTTGACAACCATCTCAATCTCATGGTAAATCAAGCATGTATCACAGGTTTCATAAATCTGTATCAACAATAATTGGATGTTAAGTTCTTAACCAAGCACAGAATGCAAAAACAGATGCAAAAAAAGTTCTAGATCCATGCCTGAAATTTTGATAGGCAATCCTTCAGCTTAACTAATGCTGTAGCACGGTTTTCTCCCCAAACAAAGCTTTGCAATCATGGGATCGTAATGCATACTAACAGCGTCTCCTTGTTCAACTCCTGTCTCAACACGAACTGTTCAAAGAAGATAACTTGAGTACTTGAGTATTTGACAAGGAAGTATGTTATAGAGTAGCAAAAATGACAGGTGGACTTAAACAAGTAACAAATGTGATTTGTGAAGGAGAAACACTCTAACAAATCATAACATCATGCAAAATTAGACATATCACATCTACACCATTAATTTAAAAATCAAAGCATTCCTCCAATATTGAAATTGATCATTCCAATAGAAGGGGAAACTAAACGAGCTTGGTGCGACAATTAACAAGAGATGAGGATACAACCAAGTTAATACATCTGACAAAACCACCTGTAAACCCCTATATTGCGAGGGTAAGGATTATTTAAAGTGCACTGTTATAATTGTACACATAAAAACTGACAAAAGGTTCCAAAACTTGTATCTGATTCTGGAACAGGTCGATAGTGATGAAGAACCCCAGTAGCAAGGAGAAACCCTTTTGGAACATTTTCAGCATATATACGGGCTTCAAATGAATGACCTGCCACCAAATAGAAGTATTTTAACTTCACAAACTACATAAACTACAAATAAGCAGAAAGATCTACAGAACAAACATATGGTATGTGACCATGCTTGATAAATTACAAAATATTGTAATAACCCACGCTTATTACCATTGTCAAACCCAACAAGCATGGCTGTCAATTTGATAGACAATGCCTCAAAGTTGCAATTGTCAAACAGAATTAATGAACATCAATTGAAAAGAAATCCAAATTCAATAAAGCCGAAAATAATAGCAATTTCAAGTTCAATAAACATGTTGCAATTTCAAGTTCAATAAACATGTTGCAATTTCAAGTTCCTCACTGAACATGCAAATTAATTAAACAATCCCCCACCTGACCTAGCCCGACAGTCACTCCCCAAGCCCCAGGCCCCAGCCCAGCCTCGACAGCCACCCCCTCCCCCTGCACCACCACCGAAACCACCCTAAATTGAGTATATACTGACAGTCTGACAGTTAAATACACGATTAACACAATAACACTAGATTGTCAAAATCTAACCTTAGAGACTACTTTAATGGATGAGAGAAAGCTCAGAAATTCCGAAGCCACTTCAATGGAGAATTTTGAGTACGCTCCACAAACCAAACCTTGCAACACATTAGCAACCAAAATTGACTCGATCATCAAACTAGACTCCAAAAATTATGTTAAATTCTTCTAGTACTATAACCAATAGTTCAATTATCCAACTTCGAAGAACCCTAAATTGAGTATACAGTGACAATGAATTAGTTAAATTAAGTCAATGATTAAAGTAAAAGAAGCATCTAACCTTTGAGACTGCTTCAATGGAGGAGAGAAAGCTCAGAAGCCCCTTCAATGGAGAATTTCGAGTACACTTCAATAATGGAGGAGAGAGGAGGAGAGAGAGGCAGATGAGAGAGGAGGAGAGATCGAGGAAAGAGAAAGAAAGAAAATAAAAATGACCCTTTTTTTTTTTTAACAATAGTATTCGCACCGGATCCAACCGAACCGGTGCAAACTCATTTTTCACACTGGTTTGGTTAGAACCGGTGCGAAAACTCTTTCCCTGAATCCCGCCTATTTTTTCGACCGGTTTTTAAAATCGGTGCGCATTTTACGGTGCTCATTTAAGTTTTTCTACTAGTGTTTGTTTGATTAATAATATCCGATTCTGACTTGATTTCACCAAAACCAAAAAAAAAAAAAAAAAAAAAAAAAAAACTAAACCCTCATTTCGGCTCTACCAAAAAGAATTATGATCTATATTAAATTTATATAAAATACGAAGTAATTTATATGATAAAAACTAGGAAAAGTTGTCAATTAATACTGCGTATTACTGTCATTTTGAAAATTACTACCGCGTATTAAAAAACTTGTAGCTTACTACCACAAAAACTTTTAAAATTTTTATTTTACTACAAGGCTTCACTTAAAGTTAATAATGACGTCACTTTTGACCCTTAACTCACGTTTAACCCTGGTTAAGCATTTAACTTCCTAAAAGAAAAGAAAATTAAAATCCCTTTGACCCATGGTTTCCCCCCCCCCCAACCCAGCCCATTTTCTCTCTCTCTCTCTCTTCTATAGTTTGACTTCAAACTCCATTGAAGAAGACTCTGCAAAGTGATGATTCTTCTAAAACAAATATTAAATGTGTCTTATCTTCAACATTACATATTGAGTGTTCAGGTTCCTTGCATTACGATTCGCATCAGCAATTTGTTTATTTAGAATATCATTCTCCAAGCTTATTGGCTTATTCTTTTCTAGCAACCCCAAAATTAAGTCCCTTTGCCAAATTGTCATTTCTTCATCATACCAAATAAAATATGTGCATCTCCTTGTATTGTTTTCCGCATCAAAATCTGGACAAGCAATGAACCTTCTTCTTATTTGGATTCTCTTTGGTCCAAGACTTCATAATTGAAGCCTTCAACCTATACTTGCATTTCCAACCCATCGACCTTGTCCCCCTAAACATCTTCTTGTCATATTTATAAAACAAATCAAATAATATATTATGCTTATTTGATAGTTTAATTCAAAGAAAAACACAAAAAGCCCTAAGTTAATCAACCAAAATCGCAATCCAAAACCCCTAAAATTCGATAGACCCTAGAATCGAAAACAGTAAAAGATTAATTTTTGAAAAGAAAATTAAATAAATTAAATATTTATCTGGATCAATTAGAGGATAGATCGGAAGAATTAGTGGGAATTAGAGATTTTACAAATGATGAAGAGGGAGAAAGAATGGAAAAGGGAGGAGGGGTTAGTTAAGTTAGTTATAAGGGGGTAACCATGGGTTAGAGTAATTTTAATTTTTTTTAGAACGTTTAAATGCTTAACCATGAGTTGAACGTGAGTTAGGGGTCAAAAGTAGTAATGTCATAATTGGCTTAAAGTGGAGCCTGGTAGTAAAATAAATTTTTTAAAAAGTTTTTGTGGTAATAGGTCACAAGTTTTTTAATTCGCGATAGTAATTTTCAAAATGACATTAATACGGGGTAGTAATTGACAAATTTTCCTAGAAATTATATTGTCTAACTAAATATATAAACTATATTGTGGACTATATACTTTATATTTTTTACCAAATTTTCGCTTCTCTTCTTTTTGACGAACAATTTTCGCTTCTCTTTATTATTATATTAGTATTATACTTAATATTTTTTGAAGTACCCATGCGCCAAATTTTCTGGAAAAACCGAGGTGGATCCGTCTGAAATTTCTGGCTCCTCCATGGTTCATTTGAAAATTTCAGGCGGATGTTCCAATTTTTTTTTCGTGATTAATTTTTAAAAAAAAAAAAACTGATTAATAATATTATTATTAGTAATGTTATTATTATTATTATTGTTGTTGTTGTTGTTGTTGTTGTTGTTGTTGGTGGTGTTATTATTATTATTTTTATTGTTGTTGTTATTAGTATTATTATTATTATTATTATTATTGTTGTTGTTGTTGTTGTTGTTGTTGTTATTTTTGTTGTTGTTTTGTACTATTTTTATTAGTATATATGTTGCGAAATATGTGTTTATTTAATTATTATTATTATTGTTATTTTTATTATTATTATTATTATTATTATTATTATTATTATTATTATTACTATTATTATATTACTATTATTTTCGTCCTTATTATTAATAATGTTGTTGGTGATTTGAATATTAATATTTGTTGTTCAACTGTAATCAAATAGTTATATTTGTAATTATTATTGATATTTGATTTTGTACTTATTTAATGTAGATTAAGGGTTTGGGTGCTCGTCATGCAATATCACGACGTTTGAATGCGTCTGTTAGGAGGGAGTCAGGTTGTTCAGTTATTACGGAGGCACCGTTTCGTCATGAGCAGCAATATGGGTCTCCTAATAGTTGGTTGGGAGAGAATCAGTCACAAGATAGCCTCCCCATGTACTCGTCGGGTGGACTGCCTACATCTGACGATGAGGATGAAGAGCGGGCAAGTCATGTTGATTGAGACGAAGAGTGTGACCCTCAGGATTATCATACGGTATATAGGGGTCAGCATGGGAGATTTGTTAGTAGTCAAGCGAGTCAACCTACTACCAGCTCAGCAGAGACATGGTTAGTGCAACAGTCGATGCCAGGTGGTACTGAGGATGGGACTGTTATCCCTAGTTTTGGTGGCCACGTGGCGTCATATATATGGGGCGGGACCGAGCGAAATGTTTTGCGCTATTAGAGTAGGACACAGTTGTGTTCTGAATTGGTAATTGGCGAGGTCGTCTTGCATAGGGACACCTTGAATTGATTGATGGCAGTGGTCTATTTCACTTACCCGGGATTATGTTTAAGCGTCTCGACTGGCCGTTGATTTCTACTTTTGTTGAGAGATGGCAGCCAGATACGAACACATATCATATGCTATTTGGAGAGATCACGATCATGCTGCAAGATGTGTACCATATTCTTGGG